ATCGTAACACGGTCTTAAGTCATCATATTGTCCACCCCTAATTTTAAGTCATGAATGTGATCAGACAGTAGCACTCAGTAGATCTAAAATGAATGTTTAATTTGGAACTTCTTATGAGCTAAGCTAACATTAGCGTCGCTGTTTATATTATGGAAAGTGAGGCTTGAAGAAGTCAGTTATAATTTAACACATATTTACATTTCTAATCAGTCTTAGCTACTGTTTTTCTTTTGTGTTCAGCATTTATAAAATTATCAGTTGATGACAGAGATGGCTGTTAAATATATGAAGTCAGAATTAAACTTTTTAGGAGAGCAGCTATTTGCCTTAAAGGAGAAGTTCGGTTTTTAACACTTTAAGCCCATTTTCTGTAGTGTCCAGGATGAAATCGAATGATCGACACCAAAAGTTTGACAATTGCTCCTGTCTCTGCTTTTTGGCTCATTTAGAATCCCCCCCTGGCTGCTTTAGAATGGCTTGCATAGAGCATGTCCGATAATGTCCTTAAAACAACCTTAAACGTTCTTTTTTTAAAATATGCTACTCACCGGGTCGTCAGCGCTGTTCAATGACGTTCCAAAAAAAGTTTCGTAAAGAAAAAACGTTCCTGTAGTGTTTTATTTAGCATTTTGTAAATCCCATTGAGTTCTGTTGGAATAGTCAATATTCCCCTGCCACCGGAAACGGAAATGGGGCCTGTTTACACAGTTGTAGTCTTTTCGCTTCACTCTGTGTACTCCGACGTCGAGGTGCTAACGTCTCTGTTAAACACTTTAAAAAACTCTGAAAATGGAATACGAAAGGTGGATTCTTGATTCTCGACGTCGGAGTACACAGAGTGAAGCGAAAAGACTACAACTGTGTAAACAGGCCCCATTTCCGTTTCCGGTGGCAGCCTGTAGGGTGGCTGCAAGTAACTGTCAGATGGGAATCGATTGAGCACTGGCGTGGCGGCTTAAATCTGAGAGGATAGAGAGCGGACCAGAGGCGGTGAGGCTCGGCAAAGATCTGTGACTGACAATGGGTGCTCCAAAAATGAATAACCACGTATGGCTAATGGGAGAAAAATAAAGACTGCACCAGCACACAGACCATCGCAGCACCCTGACAACATTGAAAATAAGAATGAAATTATCAAATTATAAGATTAGGTAAAATAGTCATTTTATAATTAGTTATTGTTGGTTCCACAATCATCGATACTTTTGGCTGAAGGGCGTACTCATGGTAAGAAAAAATGCCCAAAGGGATACACAGGTTCAATTCAGTTTTTTTTATATAGCACCAATTTGCAACACTTCATCTCAAGGCACTTTACAGTTCAACCAGATCATCCAGTCAAATTGATTCAAAGTTTTCTGTCTAAGGAAAACCAATTATTTACTTCGACTCACTGACTCGAAGGCAATCCCTCACACTAAGCATGCTTGTAGCAAATGTCAAAAAAGGTTGGTAAACAGGGTTCTATATCATGAGATTCCCTGTAAATAGCCCTGTAGTTCTGCCACAGATAGACCTGGGGTCCAGGGCCAATAGAAGTAATTTTGAACAGGGGGTGCTGTGAAATTTTTGTTATTGTTTTTTTTGGACAAAAGAACTATGAGCTGCAGTTACAAGACATCCCTGATTTCTGGGGACAGTCCCCGTTTTGGACAATCTGTCCCCTGCTAAGCTGCCCTGGAAATGTCCCCGATTTTACTGTGTAATGAATGACGGGTAAATGATGCGTGTAGACTGTTATTACGGTAGAAAGACTGCACAGACACAGATGTTACTTGGTCGGCTGGCAGCTGTTAACGTAGAGATGAGGAGCAGAGTCCAGCACTTTTAAAACTATCGCGGAAGCTATCAGAACCGGTCGCAGCTGCCCTATGTTAATCAATTAATTTGATTTGAAGTGGGCTGATCATTGTGATAAACGTTTGGTTTGTGCCTAGAGTAATTTAAAAAAGGGCTTTGATGTGTTTGTTTTACTAAAGATGAGGACAAGAAATGTAACATAAACCCAAGCTAATCAACAAAAAGTAAGACAGACTATTGGCTGCAGCGGGAGGAGGAAATAGACTCAGATAAAATTAAACAGAATGGTTGAAAACTCCTTGTAAGGCGCTAATCTGGTTTGGTGGTTCTCCAGGGATTAACCGGGGATTATCTAATGCTGTTTTAGAACTAGTGTTGTACTGATACCAGTATCGGACGGGGCCCCGATCAAGCACTAAAATAGTGGTGTTGGAATCGGCGAGTACCAACAAATAGGGCACCGATACCACTTTGAGAGCCAAAAGTTTATTCAACTATTGTCACCCATTCCAGGTAGGCAATACAAACTTCTACTGGATTCACTTTTATATTAGTCTTTTTCCTGCTTCACAGAGGTAGGCAGCAACTTGACAAAGCCATGATGGCAATTATTTTCCATCCAAGTAGTATGCAGTTCTTCATATAAACACACACATCAATTTCAAACTGATGGTATCAGTACAGTAAAAATGGCATTGTCGCAACAATATTTAGAACTGATTGATGACCTTTAGTTTATCTCATAATTTGAATGGAAGAACTGGAACTCAACTTTATCATTACAATGTCACAAGAACAAAGCAACTAATTCTCTGCATTTAACCCATCCCTTTGGGGAGCAGTGTGGAGGTCAAGGGTATGAGGGCATTATTGTTGCAATATTACCGTAAATCCTCTAATATAGGACGGGGCCTTTATTTCACTCAGGTACATCTTGGTCCAGGCCATTATTGGAAGGAGGCCAGAATTAGGGGCATGCCTCCATTTCTATTTGATAAAAACAGACTACAACTGGAATGAATAAAAACGAGATTTTGTGTCTCTTTGAACCTATAAAATACTAGGTTAATTTATTGAAAAAGTACAGTTACCATAACGGTGTACAGAACATTATTCAGACGTCTTCCGGCAGCTGCAATTTTTCTGCACGGCAATATGAAAAAAAAAATAAAAATAATGGTGACCTGCCATCACAGCGAAATTTTATTTGAGGCAGTCTAAGTGGAAGTAGACTACCAGTATCATATATTTCAAGGGAAATTCAGAACAACGAAGGCCAACTACATTCTGTAATTTTAACACTGCCTGGTTACCACCAGACCTACCGGTAATCACATTTGTCTTTCAGATTAGAATGATTGTTTGGCTGTTTATACTCCTGCAGCTGTGTGTGGCAGTGAGCTTGACGCAGACATTTTTGATTTATGTTCAGTATTGAAGCGTGGTCAGCGCTATACACTGTGGGTCTAGATACGGCCGAGGCGGTGAGGAAGTGGGGGCGAGTAGTCCGACAACGGAGGGACATGTCGGGGAAAAAGAGCGGAGATCAAGGTGGGAAAAGCGTCCTCGCTCTTCTAGCTAGACAAACTTCACGAGTTGTTTTCTGCAATTTCGGTCATAAAAACAAAACAAGCCGACCTCCTGCCTGTGGCACTGTCTGCACTAAGGATGGGACTTCCCATTCTAATGGCTTGGATTCGTTAGCAAACATTGCCCCCCTGTGGTACTTGTGTGTTACTATCACAAGTTATTGAGGACTGCCCAGAAACATTGTTGGTTCTAATTATATCAGAGTCCGCCCACTATTTACCTCCGCCGACAGCGACACAGGCCAACATTAGAGACCAGGCTGCTAATGGAATACAGGCCAATATTAGAGGATTTACGGTATTTGCAAATTTGTGTAGAGAATTGTGTGTCTTTATCTAGATTTGTGTGTGCAGTGGGGTTTTGAAAATGTGTGAGGAGTTTTGTGTGTCTGTACAACAATCTGAGAATGTGTAGAATAACTTTAATTCACTTTGCATATGTGTAAAAAAAATCCACAAACCTGTATTCAGATCTACAAATGTGCGCTAAAATTTCAAAATTTGTACTAAGATTTAAAAAAAAAAATCCCCCTCTTGCCTCTAGGGGTTGCTGCAGCACACCCACTTCCTGCGGCCAAGCTGGAGTCTACTGATCTTAACCCGGTTCTTTAATTTGTGAGGGAAGGTTTTCAGAGAAATTTAGAAAAGGGGGAAAGCATATTTAGGTATTAACAGAATGTATTCTGGTCAATAATATTGACATTAAGACCAAAATATAGAGGATCAATAACATTATGCCTGCCCTGACCACTGCTCATATGAACAGGGCGTTGATCTCTTTATTTCACTCCTACTTATACTAAAAGCTACACCCTTTCAGCCTATTGTCTGCTGGTATCTGACTCTCTTCTACAACTGCCCCCTGCAGCTTTGTTTGCAGTTTTGACAGAATTTCACAGGTTATCCTATACAGATGGTTTTCATGGTAAATGTACAGCTGTATGAATTGGAATGTCCCTCCAACTGACGAATTTCCACATACACAGAATGTCCAATACGACATAAAACATGAATTTGTGCAGCTCAGGGTTTAGCTGGCTTCAGGATGTCACAAATATAGAATGATTAGTAAGTTTAAAACGGAAATTAAACCTTTCAAAATAAATTAACCTTCAATGCTACTTTAGTCCAAACTAACCAGGCACTGTTGCAGAGAATTGCTGATATACAGGTTCGCTGTGTTCAATGTATTCTAATATAGTGATGGTCCAGTCCTGAAAGCCTACATCACATCCTCTAATGCAGGTTCTCCAGAGTTCTAGATATCAGTTATTTAAGTGTGTTGGAGCAGGAACATATTGAAAAGTATCAGGACACCAGCTTCTGAGGACTGAAGTTGCCCATTCAGTTGCTATGGGGATCCTCCATTTTTATCAGAACGGATGCAAAAACTGATCCAGTTTCCTTTTAGCTGAAAGGTATAATGAGGAAGCTCTTCAGACAAAAATGATGTTTTAACTACAATAACTAGACTTCAGATGGTTTATTATTTTCAAAACCAATAATCTGTCATTTCTTGAAGGACTGAGAACATTCAACAGAATATTGGTTAGTGCTAAATGCCTTCAGTTACCTTATGCTCAGATTCTTTTTTTTGTTTTGTCCTTACAGAACAAATGCAATCCCATATTTCCAGTGAGAACAAATCTTTGGACATCCAACAGCTCTGCAACCAAGTGAGGAGGTCCAGCCATGACCAAGAAGAAACAGAATCTCATCGTGCTCAAGATCAGAGGGAATCAGATCATATTCCTTTTGAAGTAGAAAATGAACAGGGACCTCCATGGATTAAAGAAGAAAAAGAGCCCCTAGAACCTTCTCTGATCAAAGAAGAAAGCGAGGAACCAGAGTCTAAATGTACTAATGAGGATACAAAGGATCCAGGTTTGCTACTGAAAGAAGAAGTTGATGAACCAAGGTCTCCATTGAATAAAGAAGATGAGAAACCATCATCTGTATTAATTGAAGTAAAAGAAGAAGATTCTGTCTTGTCTGTAAAAGAAAAAGGGCAACTATGCGTTTTGGCTTTTAAAAATAACCAGAAGGACCAAAGCAGTTGTCAGGAGGAAGAGCAGCCTGTCAAGGAGCAGTCCATCATTTTGACGGAGACCCTAACTTCAAAGGAAGTTAAAGTGAGTGAAAGAAAACCAAGAAATGAAAAGCCTTATAATATGCCTCAAACTGACAAAGAGATAAGATATTTGAAATGTGAAATTTGTGGGAAATACTTAAAGAGTGAAAGAACTCTGAAACGGCATTATAAAACCCATACAGCTGAGAGGCCCTTTCAATGTGAGACATGTGGAAAAAGTTTCTCTCGAAGGGGTACCTTAACTAAGCACATGAGAACCCACACAGGCGAGAAACCTTATACTTGTAAGATATGTGGAAGAGGTTTTTCTCAGATGGCCATTTTAACTATTCACTTGAGAACTCACACAGGTGAGAAACCCTTTTCATGTAGGATATGTGGAAAAGGTTTCTCTAGATCTGTTTATTTAAAGGAACACATGCAAACCCACACTGGTGAGAAACCATTTTCCTGCGAGACATGTGGAGAACGTTTCACTCGTATGAAAAGTTTAAATTGTCACATCACAACCCACACAGGTGAGAAACCGTTTTCATGTAAGACATGTGGAAAAAGTTTCTCTCAGATTAGTTATTTACAGGTTCACAACAGAACCCACACAGATGAGAAACCTTTTACTTGTAAGACATGTGGAAAAAGTTTCTCTCAGATTGGTTATTTACAGGCTCACAACAAAACCCACACAGGTGAGAAACCTTTTACTTGTAAGACATGTGGAAAAGGTTTTGCTAACATGAGTTATTTAACTGTTCACACCAGGGCCCATACAGGTGAGAGACCTTATTCATGTAAGATATGTGGAAAAACTTACTCGTATCGTAGTAATTTTAATAATCACAAGAAAACCCACACAAGGGAGATACCTTTGCATGTCAAAAATGTGGAAGAAGCTTAGTTAACATTGGCAGAAATAATATTGCCCATGATACAAAAACACAAAAATGACAAGTACTTATTAGATTTCTCCTGCTGCCATACACTTGTTGTGCAAAACGATATACTGCAGGTAATGAATAAATGATTAACTAGAACTGGAGATGTAGTTAATTATTTAACTTATTCAAAATAGGAGGTGAAATCAATTTAATGTTCTTAGTTGAATAATTGTAGCTTTAATTTGCTTACTTACCAGGGTTTGTGCCTTTCTCCAATGGATGGTTCCTGGATCGGCTGTTAAAATCCCGGTATTCCCACCAATTTATTGACCTAAGCTAGGTTATCAGCAGAGCTATTAATTATCAATCAAAGAACTATTTATCACTGGCTTTTCAAACTATTACCACAAGAAGGTGGAAATGGCCTGAGTGATACATCATTCGTGCGTAAATTACAACGAACTGCAAGTTAAACAATGATGTCTTTATTCTAATAATTCAGGATTACAGAAATCTAACATCTATGTTCTCTGCACATACAGAAATACAATTGCAATCATATGAGTAACAAAAGCTTTTAATGACAGAATGAGCTTATGCAGCAAGTCAATATTTGCAGTGTTGACCCCTCTTCGTCAGGACCTCTGCAGTTCTCCCTGGCCTGCTCTCAATCAACTTCTGGACCAAATCCTGACTGATAGCAGTCCATTCTTGCACAATCAATGCCTGCATTTTGTCAGAATTCCTAGGTCTTCGTTTGTCCACCCGTCTCTTGATGATTGACCACAAGTTTTCAATTGGATTAAGATCAGGGGAGTTTCCAGGACTTGGACCCAAAATCTCTCTGTTTTGTTCCCTGAGCCAGTTAGATATCACCTTTGCTTTATGGCAAGGTGCTCCATCATGCTGGAAAAGGCATTGTTCATCACCAAACTGCTCTTGGACGTTTGGGTGAAGTTGCTCTAAGAGGACATTCCAGTACCCCACACATGAATGGTTTCAGGATGCTTTACAGTTGGCATGAGACAAGACTGGTGGTAGCGCTCGCCTTTTGTTGTCTGAACAAGCTGTTTTCCAGATGTCCCAAACAATCGGAAAGGGGATTGATCAGAGAAAATGACTTTAGCCCAGTCCTCAGCAGTGCACTCCCTGTACTTTTTGCAGAATATCAGTCTGTCCCTGATGTTTTTCCTGGAGAGAAGTGGCTTCTTTGCTGCCCTCCTTGAGACCAGGCCTTGCTCCAAGAGTCTCAGCCTCACAGTGCTTGCAGATGCACTCACACCTGCCTGCTGCCATTCCTAAGCAAGCTCTGCACTGCTGGTAGCCCGATCCTGCTGCTGAAACACTTTTAAGAGACGGTCCTGGCGCTTGCTGGTCTTTATTGGGCGCCCTGGAGCCTTTTTGGCAACAATGGAACCTCTCTCCTTGAAGTTCTTGATGATTCGATAGATTGTTGACTGAGGTGCAATCTTTCTAGCTGCAATTCTCTTTCCTGTTAGGCCATTTTTGTCTAGTGCAATGATGACTGCATGTGTTTCTTTAGAGATAACCATGGCTCACAGAAGAGAAACAATGATGCCAAGCACAGGCATCTTTTTAAAGTGTCCACTGGTTTCATTCTTACTTAATCATGACAGATTGATCTCCAGCCCTGTCCTCATCACCACCCACACCTGTGTTAATGGAGCAATCACTGAAACGATGTTAGCTGGTCCTTTTAAGGCAGGGCTGCAATGACGTTGAAATATTTTTTGTGGGATAACGTTCATTTTCTAGGCAAATATTGACTTTGCAATTCACGTGAAATTTGGGCATTTCCTCACAGGCGATGAAACCCAGGGAAACGGACCGATTTCCTTTCCACGCTTGGATTTAAACCCTGAATGACGTAGGGGTATTTCTTGCTGGGATTCCAGCCTTTTTGTCAGCTGATTGGTCAATGTGTGAGCTGGCTGTGTTAGGGCTGGAATTTTCCAGAACTTTTATTTGTTCTCTTTGTGAAAAGGGAGGGTGAGGGTTTGATGTGGTTCATCAAATCGATTTGGCTCCATTGTGGCAATATATCCCAACACACTATAGCTCGGGAAGAAATATAAGTGTTAATATATGACTGTGTACAGATGCATCAGATCAAATTTTCTATAAATATTAAGTCTGCAAATAATTTCAAGTCTCTTTTTTTATGCAATGTTTGTAAATTTGAGCCTTGAGATAGACCAATACATTGGTCAGCCAATATTTGCAGCTGATATTTGTGTTCTTTTTTTATTGTATTGCCAGGCAAGTTCATGCGTTGTCCAATTCATTAGTGCGTTCATCAGCCATGCCTCAGATCATGCAGAATGCATGCATTGAAACTCCCTCCATTGGTATAAACTGTTATTGTTGTGGCTGGATGTTTTTTTTCCCTTTTTTCTTCTAAATGTATTATAATTGTTTTATTTTTCTGAAACATGTGATCTTTGTCAGTTTTATCATGCAAGCAGAGGAACAAAGTGTAAAAAATTAAAACTGAAAATTAAAGCAATATCACAAAAAGTATTGGTCGATCTCTACTTGTGACCAGCTTTGTAGACTGATATAGTTTGATCATTTATAAATACAATCGATGTCAGAGGTATCAAGTAACAAAGTACAAATACTTCTGTAATTTAAAAGTTTTGGCTATCTATACCTTAAGTAATTATTTTTTAAACAAGTTTTAACTTTTCTTTAGTTTTTTTTTTGTTTTTTGCAGATATCTTTACTTTCTACTCCTTTTTAAAAATAGAATTGTTGGTTTTGTTTTGTTTAAGTTGATTGTCATTATGGCCTGATGGTTTGAAAGAGAAAATAAAAAACATCTATATAATTTGTTTTTCATCCAGACAATTTCATTGTGATAGCACCAACTTTTTCTTAGCTACGTACCAAATAAATAGATTTTTTTTTCTTTTTAACTGTGTCCTGTCTGGCGATGTGGCTTTAAAAATAATTGTCTAAAAAATAAATAGATTTTCAAGATGATGCTGTTTAATTTTACACGGTTCAACTATACTTAGTCATAAAACTAAGAAAAATATGTAAAAGGAAATGATCATCCAGGATTGTAGAAAATATTCCTTTAATATGGCTTTGCAGTAACCAGTATAAGGTTTGACCTGTCCTTAACATATTTTCCTGCATTTCTTTTACCATTAGATTTGAAGTAGTTTTTAAAAAATTGTTCTTTTACAATTTTTAGTGAAAAGCTTAAATTGATAATAAACAGTAGGATGAATACTTCTAATTGAGTAATAAACATGAATACTTTTGACACCTCTGGTACAGGTGCTGGTCATAAAATTAGAATATCATGAAAAAGTAGATTGATTTCAGTAATTCCATTTAAAAAGTGAAACTTGTATATTATATTCATACATTACATACAAACTCATATATTTCAGATGTTTATTTTGTTTAATTTTGATGATTACAAATGACAACAAATGAAAATCTCAAATTCATCATATCAGAAAATTAGAATATTACTGAAGACCAATAAAAACAAAGGATTTATAGAAATGTTGGCCAACTGAAAAGTATGAACATGAAAAGTATGAGCATGTACAGCACTCAGTATTTAGTTGGGCCTCCTTTGGCCTGTATTACTGCAGCAATGCGGCGTGGCATGGAGTCGATCAGTCTGTGGCACTGCTCAGGTGTTATGATAGCCCAGGTTGCTCTAATAGTGGCTTTTAGCTCTTCTGAATTGTTGGGTCTGGTGTATTGCATCTTCTTCTTCACAATACCCCATAGATTTTCTATGGGGTTAAGGTCAGGAGAGTTTGCTGGCCAATTAAGAACAGGGATACCATGGTCCTTCAACCAGGTACTGGTAGCTTTGGCACTGTGTGCAGGTGCCAAGTCCTGTTGGAAAATGAAATCTGCATCTCCAAAAAGTTGGTCAGCTGCAGGAAGCATGAAGTGCTCTAAAACTTCCTGGTATGTGGCTGCGTTGACCCTGGACCTCAGAAAACACAATGGACCAACACCAGCAGATGACATGGCACCCCAAACCATCACTGACTGTGGAAACTTTACACTGGACTTCAAGCAACGTGGATGAAGTGCCTCTCTTCTTTTCCTCCAGACTCTGGGACCTTGATTTCCAAAGGAAATGCAAAATTTACTTTCATCAGAGAACATGACTTTGGACCACTCACCAGCAGTCCAGTCCTGTTTCTCTTTAGCCCAGGCAAGACGCTTCTGACGCTGTCTGTGGTTCAAGAGTGGCTTGACACAAGGAATGCGATAGCAGAAACCCATGTCTTTCATACGTCTGTGTGTGGTGGTTCTTGAAGCACTCACTCCAGCTGCAGTCCACTCTTTGTGAATCTCCCCCACATTTTTGAATGGGTTTTGTTTCACAATCCTCTCCCGGGTGCGGTTATCTCTCTTGCTTGTACACTTTTTTCGACCACATCTTTTCCTTCCCTTCGCCTCTCTATTAATGTGCTTGGACACTGAGCTCTGTGAACAGCCAGCCTCTTTAGCGATGACCTTTTGTGTCTTGCCCTCCTTGTGCAAGGTGTCGATGGTCGTCTTTCGGACAACTGTCAAGTCAGCAGTCTTCCCCATGATTGTGTAGCCTATAGAACTAGACTGAAAGACCATTTAAAGGCTTTTGCAGGTGGTTTGAGTTAATTAGCTGATTAGAGTGTGGCACCAGGGGCCATCAATTTTGAAACTTTTCACAATATTCTAATTTTCTGATATGATGAATTTGAGATTTTCATTTGTTGTCATTTGTAATCATCAAAATTAAACAAAATAAACATCTGAAATATATGAGTTTGTATGTAATGTATGAATATAATATACAAGTTTCACTTTTTAAATGGAATTACTGAAATCAATCTACTTTTTCATGATATTCTAATTTTATGACCAGCACCTGTACATGTTGACGTTTCTTCTGGATTGTCCTTTAAGCTATGTATACCTTTCTGAACCATCATGTCTGAATGTATGTTTGTGGCTCTGATACTTAAAAAGGAAAAGGCTGTCTCCTGTTTTTGCCCACATCTCAAAAACCTACATAAAGGTGACCAGTTAAGATCTTGTTTTTGCAAACGTGACCTCTGCTTTCCATGGTTTGTGTGCTAGGGTTCAAACACCCTGTCTACTATATTCTCTCTTACATTGCTAATTATGTATTAGGCCTTGAAATATGTTTACACAGTGTGAAGATTATATAGCACAAATAGTACATGTACTTTTTGTAGGCTGTACCCAGAAGGAATATTACTTTTTCCTATGTCAAATTTGGTAATTAAATCTATATTTTTGTTTTATATTGACTTATAATTTCTGTATGTTTTACGATCTTTAATAAACAATGCTTGTTCCAACATCAGCCTTTTATTTCATTGCCAGAATTGGTATCTCCATCTACTCTACACATCCAGTATAGGAATATACCTTTCTTAGGATTATGTTATTATTATTATACAGGGGGAACATGTTCTATCAGGCTGCCTGTCCCTGCCATAATTAGTTCCCCCTGTCTAAATCGGACGAACAGGGTCCTACCTTTAAATTTTTGGCTTACAAATATGTCTTGTGATATATAATAACACACATGAGCTTAAATTAAAGAGCAAATTTTCCCATTTGGCATAAAATTAATAAAAGACTTGTGGTTGTAGTTAAGAGTTGTGTAAGAACCATTTTGATCTGACAAAAATTCTTGACGAAGGAAATTAATAGAAATACTACATAATAAATTTACTTAAATGAATCACGTTACAATAAATCTTCCATCTATGATCATAATACTCATGATCACAGTACGATCCTTAAAAATACTGAATAATAATATACAATTTAAATATGTAATATGTACATAATATTTGCATAATATATCACAACATATTAACTGTGTTTATGATAGAAATATTAAATGCAAAATATATATCTTCATGTATATATTTTACCCAGTTTGACTTCAGTTGAAGTAATGATTCAGAAATGTTCTCCTTTATACACACCTGAGTCTGAAAGTAAAAACGCAACCAGAAAAGAAATAACTGGGAAATCAAAATTAAGCATATCAAAGAGACATGTTTATTTAGATTTTGTTTTACTGGTATTAAAGTGTGTGGGTCCAAATTACCTCCAACACAACCTTCGTATACAAGCACTACAAAAACCACGACACACAAGCTCATGACCCCAGATGAGGAAAAGTCACAAACTATCATCAAGCTATAAAGAGAGGATAATCTGTGCTTTTATCAACACCAAATTGAAACTGCTCAACTTGGTCCATAACATATTGGGAAGGTTAAGAAAAGTGCATTTAAGTAATAGATACAGAGGAATACAACCGCTTGTTAGCCTATATAAAACGGCACTATCCACCATGTTTCAGCAAGAAAGAGAAATTTCTTCTTGGATGGAAAGCTTCACTATATTATGGAGGCGAATCGTTGCCATGTTTAAAATGAAAAAGCATTTCCAGAAACAGTACGTAATAATTGGATATTGAAAGTAATTTCAGAAGTTTGAATTCTGAATGTGACAAGATTTTCCTTTAAAGCTACAGTGTGTAATTTTCAGCGACATCTAACGTCCAGACTGCACACCGCAGCAACATGAACATTTCCCCCCCACCGCTTCTCCCCCCCAACAGTACGGCGAGCGTTACGGGACAAAATGTCTTCCACAACGTCCGCATCACCTACCTTCTCAAGTGATGAGGTTTGTTTACATAGATAATTTTAATACTGCCATCTATTGTTCAGTAGCGTCTCAGTTCATCTCTCTCAACTTGCCAAAGTTACTTTCGAGCGTAATGGGCGATCTCGCAATCGCTAGTTTGTTGGCTCTGCGCTGCCCGCTCCTATGTAATTATAAATAACGAATTCTAAGGCAACGCAAATATTAAGGTTAAGAGGCTGAGCTCGTAGATGATGATAAATAACATGGTTATGTATAGGATATTACATTTCTGACTGTATATCCCTGTAATTATTACACACTGTAGCTTTAAAGCAATGTTGCTGATGATTTTGATCCTAAACAGGATCTATTTATAATTATAGGTACTTTGTTACTCTTGTGTTCTCAACAATAGAAATGCATTAAATAGTTATTTTTGGGCTCATTTTTAGTAAAATACAAAAAACCTAATCAGAGCATTCCAGTCTCTTAACTGCAGGTGTATCAACCCCCAAATTTATAGTGTTCCCTTGGTCTAGGGACCCTCATAACTACTATTAAGCAAATACTTCTGTTGAAAAAAGCAATATAGACCTTACAAAAGCAAACATTATGCTTTTGGATTCAGGAAATCAGCAATGTAGCTATGCTTAATAGTAAGCTGCACTGGCAACTATTTGAAGTTAAACATTGTGCGTTCTTCATGGAAACTTTCACACATAAATACCAATTGGTACCTTATTACAACAGCCATGGTGGTCTACTTGTGAAAGCAAAGCCTTTGGGTATTATCCAGCACTGGGATATAAATCAGTGTTTCTGCAGGTCATTAAAAATCATTAAAAGTTATTGAATTATTATTTTTCAAATTAAGGCCTTATTTGGCATTAAAATTCATTAAATTTGATAATTGTGGCATTAAAATGGCTTGGGAAAAGAAGCTTGAGGCCAAGAAAAGGCTAGAGAATGGGAAAAATGCAAATTTGAACCAAAGTGGCAGGAAAACGAGGAACTCGGGACATGGCTGCAGCCTGTCCACATTGAAGATGACGAAGGATTTTGCCGTGTGTGTGTGTGTGTATAAATTGCACTCCCTAACTCTATCTTTAGAGATATGGTAGTTTTTGGAATACTATTGAAAGACAAAACAATAGAACTCTGTTGTAACCTAATTTTATGTTTAGCAAAATTCTTTATTCATAAACAGAGAGTCTTGAGATCATCCCCAATCTTTAGTATTTTTTTATCTGAATTTAAGTTATATTTGACATCTCTTGAATGTATCGAATCTTACAAATACCCACTGCCTTTTTTGACTTCTTATTTTAACCCATTTCTTTTGAAGCTGAGAGTTTCTTTGAACTCTCCTTTTAAACATCCATCATTTTAAACAGTTTTTTTTTCTTTTTTCTTTTTTTTCGTTTTGTCAAAATCTGTAAATTTCTTACCTTACCTTCTTTTTAGCCTCTAACTTCTCATGATATTTGTTTATCTTATCTTTAACATTTTTGTTTATTGCAACATTAAATGAACCCTACTTCTTAGCAATTGATCAAAAATTTCTCCTTGGGCAGTTGACAATTCCCCCGAACCTTGCCTTTTGTTCTACCACCATACT